CCCCCCTAAATCTCTTTGGCATGCCAGAGAGGACGAGGGGGATGAAGGGGGGATGGGGGTGGTGGGCGTCGCTCGCTCGATTGCGGTCCACGAGAGCGCTAACATCATACGGCCTGATTCCCGCTGTTCACTTAACGCAGTTCTTCTGGTCGGAGAGCTCGACAGGTGGACAGCAGGCGCGGGCGTGAGGGGAGGGCAGAGCGGAGCGGGGAGGTCTGATCAGAGGTCCCCGGGGGACCCTCCTCCGCCCCATCGCCCGCTGGCCGCCCCGTCCATTCCCAATCCCTGCACCCTCGCCCGCCCAAGCCCAAGCCCACCTCAAAATGCTGCGTCTCCCCTACTCTCCCTCGTCCCTCCTCCCCGCAGACTGATGGCTTGGACGTGCCACTCTGGACGGGCGGCCTGCAGTGTAACTCTCTCTCTCCCTTCCACACACACACACACACTCTCTCTCTCTCTCCCCCTCTCCCATCCCCCGCCGCCCTCGCACCGCCCGTATCGGCCCTACTATTGGACACTCGGGGACATTATAGGTGCGGGCTGCCGCCGCAGCTGCCGCCGCAGCTGCCGCCACAGCTGGTGATCGCCGTGATCGCCCAGGTGCGCTGTTGTAGCGCTGCTGCGCCGCTATGTGTTGTTGTTTTGAAGCTGCCGATCCGTGTCCCGAGCTTCCCCAAGCTGGTCCTGGCCGGCTCTACGGCTGGAAGCGGGAAGCGGGAGGGGAGACAGAGGGGGGTTTGCTTTGAGTCTAAACCATAGAGCAATCCGTGGCATAGCACTCCCTCGGCAGCCAAGTTAGACCCGGCCTCCTCTACCGGGAGAGGAGGAGGAGGAGCGTCGCCAATCTCAGGCCCGGGCCGTGGAGAGGAAAGCGGAAGCGGGAGCGGGGAGGAGCAGCGGGAGTTAGCGGTTGCACAGCCTTCTCCATTCTAGAGCGGGGAGGTTGGCGGGTACCGGGGCGCGGCGATATCACGAGTGAGGGGCGGGCGAGAGGGGAGGAAAATTGAGCAAAGATCGGAGAGAGGAAGCGAAAGAGAAGGGGAGAGGGGTGGGGCAGGGGAAAGGGGTAGGAGCGGCCCATGTGCAGCGAGCGACGGCGGCCCCTTCAGTTTTAGTATTGGAAGTGCTGCCTTATTGGACGGGATATCCCGAGGGCTGTGTTACTCGGGCCGGGAAGGGCGGCGGCACCACCGGAGGGGCGCTCACATGGGATGGCGCGGTGGTGCACGACCGAGTGAGCGGCAAAGGTTCCTTTTGAAAATGCTACTCGTTTGCCGGTGCTCAGCTGCTCTCCTCAGCTGCTCTCCCCCCTATGCCCGCGCTAATGTGGTTCGGCGCGCAGGGGATGCTCCCCACCACGCTGGAAGCGTTCTACCTTCGCTTCCGACCCACACTGCTCCACCGAAACGATGAAATAATTTGGAGCCACCACCTTGAACGTTTGCCAAGCGGCCAGGCTCTGCTCCTCCTTCTCTCTCTCCCCCTCTCTCTCTCCTTCTCCGCCCCGCGAGGAAGCGGCACGCAGACCCCGCTGAAATCTGGATCGCGTTATTGCCCTGCTTTGGTCTTGTCTTGTCGCGAGGCGGCTTGTCCACGGAATGGCCTCGCGCGCTGCTCCGAAGCTCGTTGTCGAGATTTAGAGCCGGCGTAGCGTGGCGGGGCCCGGCGCGGCGGGGCGGGATGGTGGTAGTGGTGGTGGCGCTAGGGCGCTCTCGGCAGGTTCTTGAGCCGCCCGGCGCGCACCCGCGGAACAACCAACTCTACTGCCGAGAAAGGGAAGTCCCGCGGACGGTCCCATAAGGCGCCTGCTGGAAGTTCTCGGATGGTCTCGGTGGGGTTTCCGTCGTCCCCATTTGGTCAGCCAACCTGTTCACACGGCAAACGAGAAGAAACCGGAGGGAAAGCCAAAGAAAATAAGGACATTCTCAGACAAGGCCCCCGTCCCGGGGCCGGTGTGTGTGTGGGCGTGCCATGGGTTTGGTCGGGGTGAATTGGAAATGGGAAGTGGATAGTGTGTTTGAGTTGCGCGCGCCGCCGTGTGCCGTGCGGTGCCGTGCGCGCTCGGGGACACGGGTCGCTGGGCGCCCGAGGCCGCCGTCAGCCCCACGGCCCACGGGGGCGTACGGTGGGGGCGGTGTTTCTCCGAAGTGCCGAAAGTGCGCGTGTGTGTGCACATGTGCCGGGGAACGGGCGCCGCTGGAGGACTTGCGAGGCCAACATGGGGCCTTGATGAGAGCTCGCCCCGCCCAAGCGTCCTGTGCGACGCGACGGGTGGGTAGGCTACCTGCCCGCCACCCGCCAGGCGAGGATGTCTGATGCGTGCACCGTCGGGCCAGTGGCGATCGTACGCTGTATATGAGGTCACCGAGTCACTGAGCGGGGCTGGGAAGTCCGTTCCGAATCAATATTAAACAGTCCGTCACGCTCAGCAGTCATGCCTCTAGCGTCGTCTTCGAGGGTTTATAAGGCGACCTGCTGGCCGTCCCCCTGGAACGCGATGCAGACTGCAAGTACGAAAATCCCCCAGCAGTGCGCGACTCGCGGCGACAGACGACGCGTCTCTTGCTCTGGAACCCTGGGAGGAAATTGTGCAGTGAAGCGAATGCTGGCGAATGTCAACAGTCTCAATGACTCCAGTCCGCTCCGGTCGCTGCTGCTGGTATCTTGCTGGATCTAGTTCCCTCCTGGCAGGCGAGACTGGTGTGAGGAAGTGCGCGGCGGCATTGGGCATCGTCATTGACTCCGACCCAGTGCGTTGAAGTTGGCGTTGATTTTCGGTAATTAGTTTGGAAATAATTTAAAATAAATCATCCAGCATCAACCGGGCTCGCAATCCGAGTCGAAAGGGATGTCCCAAATACTTACGGTTGGGTGCTCACCGTCTATCGCCGTGCCGCGCCTTCTACCCGCAGCTGCGTCCCCAGGGGGCGCCGCGGTGCCGGCCGGCCAACCACTGAACTCTGATTGGCTACCGTTCTGTCTCTTTGCGAGCCCCTCTCACACGAGGGACTCCGTATCCTGGCCGCCAGGGGGGCAGCCGTGTGGGGGCCGCGGGCGCGCAGCCGTGGGCGGGCTGTCTGTTGGTTCGGCTGGGAGCTCGACGGGCGGGGCGGCCGCCGCGCCCCTGTAATCTGTTAATGCGTTGGTCCGGGCAATGTGTGCGCTGGGTGGGGTATTGAAACAACAGAGTGAGCCTCGCGATGGCAGTGGCGGCAGCAGCGGCGGCGCCCGCTCCGTCGACACCCTCTAATCCACGCTGCTGCGTTGGCTGCAACCTGCCAATTCGAGAGCCCCTCCGGCTCTGCAAAGCAATCGATAGACCAACCAAGACACCAACCAAACCATGGTCTTTTGCGTTGCATGTTGGCCCAGGTCATTTCAGAACAAGTAGTGGATAATTTTTCACTCCCCTTTTTCCTTGTTGGTTGCATGTCGGCGGGAGACCTCTCTCATTTTTATTTTAATAACGTGATCAGGCAGCGTCGCGCGCCCCCTACTTGACTACGACGTAGTGGGGCGCGGCGGGGCGTGGTAGCGTGGTGGGGCGGGGCGGCCCCCCGTGATGCGGCCCTCCACTCTTTCGGCCCTTTGTGCTTGTGTTGTGTCCTCCAGGAGAGGCTGCTGCTGCTGCTGGTGCTCGTCAGCCTGTGCAGCACTTGGCCCCGCGCCCCGCCGCAGCCTTTCCTTTCCAATTGGCACGATTACTGCTGCCGCTGTCGTGTGGCTTGCCGTGCCGCGTGGCTCGACGTGTCGTGTCGTGCCGTGCTGGCCATCTCCATAATGAACAAGGCGGACCAATAACGACGACCCC